GCCCCCCCTGCCGCTGCCGGGGGGGACAAGAGAGCGGGCCGAGGCTGGGGCTCAGCTCTCCTTCGGTGCACCTCGGCAGGGTGACGCCACCAGGCTCCCCACCCTCCCTCCCCGTGTAGCTGCCAGCACCCCTCTACCCCCGGGCGGACACCAGACAGCTCTGCAGCCGCAGACGGGGACGCAGAGCCGGACACCGGTGGGCAAGGCTGCAGGGGGAATCTGCCCGGCACCAAGGGGAACACTTGGAAAACTTATTTTTCTCGCTGTGAGCTTGTTCCAGGATAATTGGCTGCACATAAGTTCCCGTCTCCACAACCTTTCCTCGCCATCGCATCCATTAGACCTAACCTCCAGCAGACCACATCCAAAAAGGTGCTGGCAGGGCCCTCCTAACGGAGGCCTCCGATGACGTGGCGCGCAAAGATAGAGCTTCACCTTGGCACCCAGGTCCATTAGGCAGCCAGACCCTGCGCAGAGCAGCGGTTTGCTGGAGGTGACGCGTTCTGAGAACAGGCATGGCAGGAAGGGGGAGGAGGTGCTGCGGTGCTCGCGGTGCGGGAACAGCACTGATGGTTTCTCCGGGCTGCAGTCCTTGCTGGCACAAGGCACGTGTCCCGGCAAAGCTCACCCCAGGGGCCGGGCGAGGCTGCACCTCCTTTGCCGGGTACAGCACTACGGCATGGAGGGCTTCATGGATTGCTGCTTTTTGGGTGTGAAAGCAGCTCGCCCGCAGCGATGCTGCCCAGGGCCCTGACCGCGTGTCCGGGCTGCCACGGCCTGTCAGCTCCACGGCGCTTTGGGAGACTCCTCAGCCCCACTCCAGCCCCCTTTGCAGCTCAGTCTCCTTCCCACCTGGCGAGGAGCACGAAGCAGGAGGGAAGGGGAAAGCAGGAGGCTTCGCAGGGCACAGCGGCATCCCAGGGGACCCCGAGAGGATGCCAGCAGCGCCTGCGGGTTGAGGAGCTAGGGCTGCAGAGCTGGCAGCAGAGACAGGAAAAGTACAGGCAGAGCGGGCTGGGCAGCGCTGGCAGCCGGCGCTGCGGGAGCAGCGTGCAGAGTACTGCTGATGCAGCAGAAGGTGCCTCGGCGGGCGGCTGCGATGGATACAGCTAGGTGATGGATCCGGCTTGGTGATGGATCCGGCTTGGTGAGCGGAGCTGCAGGCGCTGGCGACCAGGCAGCGGTGTGCTGAGACAGGAGGAGGAGCGCTGCATCTGCTGGAGCCTTGCTAATGGGGGGGGGACACACTTCTGAGGAGCAGCTCGGCAGAGAGGTGCGGAGGGGTGGAGGGACGCCTGTCATCCCTGCAAGGGTGCATGATGGCTGCTAGGTGTCAAAGAGCCCATGCTGGGGCCTCTGGGCCACGGTCACAGGCGCTGAAGCGGGGGGCAGATGAGGCTGAGGCTGGCGCCTCCAGCATCCTGTGAGCAGGACCACAGAGACCCGCAGCGCTGGGGACCTGAAACAGTAACGCCCGTACCCTGCTGCAGGGAAAGGCCGCTATGGGTGGCGGACTCCTTCCCAGGATGCTCAGGTGTCTGTCAAGTTTGCTTCCCAAAAGGTGGGTGAAGTTGGGATGGGTTTGGCCAAACTGCCGTCGTGAATCCCCCCAGCAGAACCCTAAATCCTTTTGGAGGCAGGGAGGTTGGGAATAGCAGCACCACCCAGCAAATACAAAGGGGCTCCTGCGGGCACTGGCACGAACCGGGTGCGCTGGGCAGGCACGCAGCTTCTTCCGCGGCGACGTGCCCCTGCGGCCGCTATCTCCCTGCTGAGCAACTCTGCAGAGGCAGGGCTCTGCCTGCCCCGCCGGGGAGAGGCGGCGAGCCTGGCGCCGCGCTGCCCGCTCCCGCTGCCCGCTCGGGGCCAGCCCCGGCCCCGGGGCTCGGAGCGGGATGCTGCCTGTCACAGGGGCCTGATGGAGCTGGCACACTTGGCAGCTCTGGCCGGTCTCCTCGGCCGACTGATCTTGTGAGACATCTGCCGTTGCCGTGGGCCTGGGAAATGCTCTGCTCTCCCGCAGCCCGGCCTCGGTGAGCGGTGTGTGCCACGGCCGGGAAGGGCACTCACGGCAGCCGGCCCTGGGATTTTGGCACCATGCTGAGATGTCCGGCATGGGACCCGGGGGTACTGTGGCTCAGCGGAAACTTGTTCTGCTGAGTCCAGCACAAGGCTGCTGTGTCCGGTTTCAGGGAAGGCGGGCACCCGCTGCTCGGACACTGTCACCTCCCCGGGGGGACAGGAGGAAGGGCTCAGGGTCCTGCCAGCTGGCTCACAGCCTGCCGGGGGGGGCAGAGAGGCTGCCAGGCCCCTGTGTGCCCCTCGCTCCCTCTCACCTTGCACTAACGGAGCTGGGAGGGTTAAAATGCCCGGCTGCTCTCCGAGGAGGGCTCCTGCTTCCCTCCACGTGGGTACCGAGCAGGGTAGGGCTGAGCAGAGCAGTTGGGATGCAGCCTCCCAGCTCAATGCAGCAGGCGCTGCGCTGGCCCCGGCTGCCCTGGAGCATCTTGCCAGGGGCAGCCCCAGCCCCGCTCCCAGCAGCAACACGAGGACGGCCCCGGCCCCCTCCCAAACCTCCCAGAGCCGGGGGATGCCGGGCTCCCAGACCAGGAGCAGGCAGAGCCCTCCTGCCGACGGAGGAGGTGGCGACGCGGGAACAGAGCCTCCCATCAGCACCTTATATTTACTGCAAGGTCCTCTGGCTGTGACCTTTAAAAGACAAGGCGGCCTGGCAGCCCGGGAGCTGGCAGCGAGCAGGAGGCGCTCGCAGCGATCAGACGCTCTGCAGGACCTTCCCGGCTGGGCCAGGCGCGCCGGGCTGGGCGCTGAGCGAGGGGCCCCGGGCACACGGACTGCGGGTGAGTGCTTGGCTGCCTTTGTCATTCTCAGCCCTCCCTTGCCTGCAGCTCTCCCGCGGAGCAACGCTTTCCCCTCTCCCTGCCTCCCTCTCCCAGCGCAGAGCCGTCCTGCCTGCTGCCTCGTCCTGCCCGCTGCCTCCTCGGCACTGCCAGCAGAGCTGGTGAGGGCTCGCCGGGGAGGGCAGGTTCCTCGCCCCCTTCCACGGGCCCTTTAATGCAAGCAGGGAAACAGCGGTGTCCCCGGGCAGCCACTGCAGAGGCATCTGCAAGGACCACTGAGGCAACTGTCGGGTGTCCCGGGAGAAACTTCCTTCTTGGCCCGGCACAGCTTGAGGCCACCCCTGCCAGACCCTCCCCAGCCCCGGCTCCGGCTCTCCCGCGCGGCCCTTCACACCCCTCAGCTCCCCGCAGTTCACTGCCCCGGGCTCCCCCCTTTTCCAGATCCCCCCTCGTTACTTCCCGGCCCCGCGAACAGGGCGGCCAGGCTGCAGGCAGCATCGCGGTCCCCCGCGGCTCTGCGCAGCGCTGAGCAGAGGTCTCCCCAGCCCAGGGAGGGCCCCCCCGCCACCTCCTGACCTGCTCCCTTGCTCTTCAACGCCTCTAATCCCACCCAGTCCAAGGAAATGTATGTGGTCTGCAAAAGTTCCTGTCCCTGCTTCTGGAGGATCCGTGAAGCCCCGGCGCTGGGGGATTGCAGTCACTGCCCTCGGTCTGTTGCGGTGATGAAAACTCACCCTCGTCGTGTCCCGCAGGGCTCTCCTCCGTGATCCCACAGCGCCTGCCTTCCTCACGAGTTTCTTGGCAGCAGCTCTCGCAGAGGCGCCCCCAAACTGCCAGCCTGCGGGTCCCCGTCCCCTTTGCCCATGGCTGTATCCACCCCTCCGTCGGGCCGACTCCTGAAGCTGGGTGGGCGGACACCCGCGCGCCCCCCTCCAGAGAGCTGCTCCTTTCTGCAGCGGCGAAGCTGTTCCCTGCCACGGGCCAGGTAGAGATGGCAGCCCGGCTGGGCTGTACCCCCCGGCACCCGGCAGAGCTTTGGAGGTGATTTTTGTGCCCTTCCTCCAGGGAGGGAGAGGTGCCTGCGGGAGGTGGGAGTTTTCCACGGAGTTAACCCCACAGGCACACGGCGAGGCGTGCAGGGCGCAGCCCCTGGGGAAGAGCTGAGGCTGCTGGTGCTGCTCGCCGGCACCCTGCTGCTTGGAGCAGCAGTAGGCTGGGTGAGGTGGGGCCGCTGGCGAGTGGGTAAGGCAGGGCAGGCAGGCAGCGTTAGCCCAGGAAAGAGGCAGTCTCCGTACCTCCGTAGGAGCGGTGTGCTGGCCAGACCTTGCTTGTGTGCGGATTTGGGACGCGCAGGCTTTCAGCGGCCCGGGTTGAAGGGCAGCTGGGAGAGGCACAGCTGAGGGCGGCTGTCAGAGCTCCCCTCGCCCTCGTGTCTCCGCGGTGGGTAAATTGATGGACGTGCCTATTAACTCTGCCCCGGTTGTGCCGCGCCGCTCTGGTGCATCTGCGCGGCGTTGCTGGATTGCTAAGTCGGACAGCAGCCCGGTTCCGGGTGTCCATCACCCAGCGCGTGCCCCGGGCTCCGCCGGAGCCTGCTGAGCCTTACCTGCCGTGCCCCGAGCCGCCGCCGTCCCCGGCTCTCTGCGGAGCAGAGGTGGGGAGGTCGGCAGGGCGCAGCTCCCTGCGGCCCAGCTGGAGCCCCCGCAGTGCATGCCGAGCACCCCCGAAATCTCGGTGCGTGAGGGCTCGGGCAGCACCGGCCGCTCCCCGGCCCCCAGCGCTGCCCTGCCTGCACCTGGCCCTGCGGCAGCTCCTGGGGACTGAGCTGCGGAAGCGCGGGCTGCCCTGGGCTCCCTCGGCACCCGAAGCAAACCTGGTGCCGCAGCGGGACCGAGCTCCGGCACGCAGGAGCCTTCTCATCCCCCTGGCAGAGCAGAGACAAGGGACCCCGTCCTGCCCCTCCGGCAGGCAGCGGCAGGGAAGCATCGAGTGCAAAGTTTGCGTTTTGTTGTTCTTTTGTTTGTTTAACTGTACAAAGAGCAATAAAAACATCCTACACTCGGCAGAGTGTTTGGCAAAAGAAACCCATCAGCAGGCGCAAACCCAAAACTATAGTCATGACCGCTAACGGCGCCTCCTGTGGGTATATATATATTTGTAGAGGTTCTCTCTGTTGTGTACAGCTATGTACATACAGATGCATTGGCGAGTTGCAATCCAAGGATAGTGCATGAAAGAAATGAAAGGCAGATGCAAGACTGGTCATGTGCAACAGTCAGAGGCCTTTGGCCGCAAAGTTGCCAGCTCAGTCCCGCGTGGAGCCGCTCACAGCCCAGCTTCGAGCAGCAGGCGGTCCCGGGGAAGCGGCCTTGCGGCCGGCTCCCCACCGGCACCGTGCGGGGAAATCCATCCGGCGTGGGCACGGGGGCGCGCGGGGGCAGGCGGCCTCAGCCCAGCCCTCCCTGGGCAGGAAAGCCCCTGGGAGAGGGGGAAGCCACACGGCGAGACACGGCGCCTTCCTGCTGCAGACGGGAAGGGGAGCGGCGCAGCGCCCAGCGAGGTCGAGCGGGGTGGAGAGGGCACGCAGGGCCAGGGCAGAAAGTGATGGGGGCAGAGCAGGGAGCGCACGGCCATCCCGTCATCCCCGGGGCCTGGTGGCATCGCCTGTGGCGCTGCCAGGATGGCACCTGCACAGGGACGCGGCAGTGCTGGGCGGCGGGTGGTGCGGCGAAGGTCTCCCTTCTCCCCTGGCAGGGCTGCCCGTGGGTGAGAGGGGACCTCCGTCACCGGGCGCTGGGCAGTGTCCCCTGGGGCTCCGTGCGTTGCCCCTCTCCTGCCATGGGAGAAGAAAAGCCCGGGCACGGCACGGCAGGGGACGCCTCCCCGGGTCATTTTCCCTGTCTGACCTGCAAGAGGCCCCAGGGCGAGCTCCCCGCACGCTCCCACCAGCACAGCTCACCTGCCAGGTCTGGTGCAGGGGGCGAGGGGCTTGCCCGAGGCCGGGTGGAGCGCCCGAGGCCGGCAGGACCGCCGGTTCCCAACCCTGGGGCTCGCCGCATCCCCCTGCACCGCAGCGGGGTGGGACCAGCCGGGGTCACCACTTGCTCACGCCTGCCCTCGCCCCCCGCAAGCTGCCCGGGCCACTGCTAATAAGGAACTGCGGAGCAGGCAGGGGGGGGGC